TTTTAAATGGAATTACTGAAATCAATCTACTTTTTCATGATATTCTAATTTTATGACCAGCACCTGTAAAATGGAAGGGCAGACATTCGGAGACAGCCTATGTCACAGAGTTTGATTAGTGTACAGAACTGACTTGAAGAGATAACCGGGTCACAAGGTGTGCAACTCATCTGGTGATTTATAAAATTATTTGAAGATTCTAGTTTTTAGAAAAAAAAGAATGAATAACGGGCAAAATAAATATAGAACTGCATCAGGTTTGTCATCAGTGGTGGTGATGCAACGAGATCTTAGACCCCTTTCAGTTTCTGTCATAGAAGGTTTATCAAATATTCTCTGACTTTATGTCAAATATTTAAATGTAAATACAGGGAGCAGGTGCTAAAATTACAGAGAGCTTAGTCTTGACCTCTCTGTACATTTTCACTTTTGTTCCTTTGATTTATTGATTATATCCAATGTTTAGAAAATGTCTCATCGCCCTCATCAGAGAAGGGATTAGGAGAAAAGAAGTGGGGAGAAGGGAGAGCAGGAAGTGGCATTGTAATAACCTTCCAATTGATATGTTCCTGTTTTAATAAAAGAATGAAAGAAGAAGCTTCAGTCTTCATAGAGAGTGGCAATCGGTCTATTGAAGAGGAAAGAACAGTGAAAGTGGGAGCAGCAAAGGTCTGGTTTTCAAATCCTCACCTCTGTTGCTTTGCTACACTCAATTTTGACCTAACTGTAGATTGTTTAAGGTTTTGTCAAAAAACATCAGCTTCCTTCTCCCATATTCCCCCGACCTTTATTTGGCTTCGCCCTTTCTGTTCTTTTCATGATACAAGGTCATTGTTGAACGGCTTCCTATTTGCTCACATTGGCAGTTCCATAATAAACAATTTCCCGACCTAGTAACTAATATATTTTACTATGGAACAATGTAATTGGGTCAGGTACAGGGGAAAACATAACACTACCTTGGAGCCTCTGCTTTAACGCATTAGAAGTAGACTGGCTATATCTGTCTCTGTCTACCTTAGCTCGCCCTGCACCTGGAGAGAGTAAGTAGAGCAGAGGAAGAGTAATGGCTGCAGATCAGAAGATGATGAAGAATAGTGTAAATACAAACTCCCAGTGAAACAAAAACAAGCTGTTGAGTCCTGCAACAGTTCTGCCAACCTGTACAGATGTAAAGCAGTTCTCTCAAACATATCCTAGACGTCCTAAAACTGTTCACCCAGTGGCCATATTGTTTGACATCTAAATTTATAGCTCTGTTTATAAAGAGCTTGTGACGCTATGAAAAAATTTCAGGTGTCTGGATCAAATAAAGTTGTGAGGTGCTGAGTAGGATAGCCTATAACAAAGTGTGCCAGCAAGCTGAGGTGCCCTTATTTTAGGAGCCAGACTGAGCACACCATAAGCCATACTGTTTTCCTTTCTCTGGCACGCACATCTCTGTAGGTGTTCAGCAACGGTCAAACTCTACAGCCAGCCACCCTGAGATTCACCCCACATGACTGGTATTCTAGGGAATATCTCCTGTTGTCAATATTGATAATACCCAGCAAGCGGAAAATTATCTGTCAGCAGCCATGATCCGGAAACTAAAATGATTTTGGTTGCAAGAACTCTGTGAAAGTGAAACCCCATGCCAGTAACATTCAAAATATCTTGCTTTAAACATTTCAATCAAAAGACTTTCAACTTTTTAGACAGTTTATAATTTTTATTTAAATTTTTTTAATTGCCTATTACTCAGCTCATCTACTATATGCCCATAAGACATATTATTTAACAAGTTTGAAATACTTATTAGAAATTATTGAGATTTACAATTATTTAGTTTAAGGTTATAAAAACGTCTGTTTTTGACAAGTTCCTCTTCAATAATCAAAAGAAAGACTTTGTTGTCTATTGTCCAACGTTTTGAGTTTGGAACCTGCTTTCACAAATTCTCTGCTAGATTTAAGTCAAGATTCTAAAAGTGTTCTCAGAAAACAGTAATATAATAACTTTTTTGTTAAAAAACAAATAGCTGTCTATATTACCGTGAACATAAAGCTGTCCTATTATTAACTTGTTGGCATTTAGCCTTTTAGCTCACTATTACAGTAGCTCATTAAGAGAGTTTCTATCCTGTATAAGCTTTTTAGCTCAAAGGGCAGTCTTTAAAATGTGACTAGTTTTACAGCCTAATAGCTTGTAAGCCACTTGTCCCCTTTAGCTGTTACATGTAGCTCTACTATAACCTTCTCAATATATCATTATCTGTTCAGTTTGCAAATGTTGTTGTAGCCTAGAATTATTTTGTTAGCTTTCTTCCAGCTAGTATAGCATCCCGGATTTCCGGTGACGTCTGGTCTCCCGTTTTCGACCACCTGTCCCCGGCTAAAGCTATCCCCAAATTTACAGTTTTATGAATGAGGGGAAAAATGTTGCATACAAACTGTTATTTTAGTAGAAAGAGCGTGCAAGCATGCTGCACACAGAAACAGCTGTTAACGTATGGATTAGCAGAGTACACCAGCTTTAAAGCAGACGAAGAAGTTTGTTATTACAGCCGGCTGTACGCAGCTACGCTGTGAAATCCCACATCCTTTGAAACCGCCCCGCTCCGCTGAGAATGATCCAGATTTATAGATGTGGTTAAATGGTAGTAATTTAATCTGAATATAAAAATCTAATGTAACTTTTTTAATAGTGACACAGCATTTAATACAGGCTGCTGAAGGCTACCCAATGCACTGCAGCTGTCCAGAATACAGTATAAACACCTGGAGGCCGTTTCATTATATAGTTATCATTATGCAGAAAAAAATATGTTTTTCAATTTTTTTATATATTTAAAAAAGTTTCATTTTAATTTTTTGGAAGGGAATAGGAGGGAAATTACCACAGACTATTAATGCAAACTGGCCTGTCCCTGAAAACAACATTTATATTAATTAAATTAGTATGTATAAATGGGTAAAAACATCACTTTCCCAGTTTCCTATTTTAATTTTCCTAAAACATATTTATTTTTATCTATGAAATTTTCCCAGATTAAATTGCAGAAATCTGACCACCTTAAACTAGTAAGCTCTTAGCTCATTAAAATGCTTTTAGGTTATAGCTTGATTTAAGTGTTATAGTCTACTATTGTATTGATAACTTTTAGCTTCATTGCCTACTGTCACTTCACTATTAGTCCCAGAAACTCACTTCATCCTATCAACTTATTTGCACATGTGCTAACACACAAGCTTTTTAGCAAGCCAATAAACACGCTTTTTTCATTTTAGGAAAGTGTCATTAAGCAATCATTTCAAAAAGCAATATGTTTTTAGAATAAACAAAAAATGAAAGGCATGCTAAACTATTTATAGTTACAATATATACAATACAAGTTTTGTTATCAATGTTAGAATGCAGACCTCTAAAACCCAATAGATTGTTGATTGATCTGAGGAACTGATAGTGTCAGCTCAGAGCAAAGCACCTTAACAAAAGCTACTTTATTGATTGATTGATTAACTTTATTTACTCAATTTGGACAGTGACTAACATGTGATCCCATATGTTAATCTATATTCTTATTATCTAGCTCTTTAAAAAAATAGATTTTTTTATATCACTACAATGAAATCTGAAAACAAAACCATAGTTAGCCTGATGCATTTCTTTTAGCACATGCACATATAAGCGGACAAATTGTGCTTCCGGAAGAAATGCTGTAGTAACACTAAATGGTATTTCTTTAAAATGCTTTAAGCGAGGTTGACTAATAAAAAGATGTTTCCAGTAGCTTAGTAGCTCTCTGGTGCCTAGATTTTTCTGCAATAGCCCTTTAGACAGACTGTTATAATGCCACTCAATTGTTTACCTTCTTTTAGTTTGTTAGTATCCTTTTCTAGTATTTTAATAGCTTTAATGGACCCACTGATTACCTCAAAATAGTTCTGTAACTTATGCCCAAAAAGAAAGAAAATATCAATGAATAAACATGAATATGCTTAATTTAATTTACATTTAACTATTTCATTTCCCTCCTTATTGTGTTTTTATGAGATTGGTTTAAATTTGCAGAAGCTTTAGTTTTAAAATATCCTTAATTTTTTTTAGGATAAAGGAGTCTCCATCTTCCTTGCCTCATGGAAACAAGATGCATCCTGGAAAGGCAGATTGCTTGAATTTTTTTATTTTAACAAACTGTGTGATTTACAGTCATTTCATGGTATATAAGTAGAGTTCCTTTAATGGATGGGAAACTCCATAAAGATGCATGCCTGTGCTGACTATAGGAAGCTTTCAAAATGACCTTTTATCTTTTTATCAACTTATTTTTAGATATTTCATTTGCCAAATTTCCCCACCATGTAACTTCTCCTTCACTGATATGGCGATAAGGTGTTAGATGGCGTAGGCTTCCTCTTTCTTCCTCATCCTCACTCTAAACTCATCTATCCTTCCTCTGGAAGGAAGGAGTAGGGGAGAGACAGAGTGATGGATGAGAATGGCAAACTACTTTCCTACACTATTACATAGGTTCTTCACCTGAGAGGTGAATGAGGTAAGGAAAGGCAGATCTTGATTGGTCCCAGAGAAAAAAAAGGGATATCTCCTGAATGAAGTTTCACTGGGGAATTGATCCAAAATATAAAGTTTGGTAATAATTAAAAGAGGTGGATATGTGCTTCATCAGTCATTGGCATAGAATACTTGATGAGAGTCTCCCTTTTTGTTTGTCTGTCATCCGATCTACCTTTCTACTTTATAATCTCTCACTTCTTTTCCCACAATGTTGTATTGTCAGTCTGATTCAACCATCAAATATAACTAATTCCTCCTTTTTCCACAGATGATTCATTGTTATTTTTTTCCTCAGCACTCTAGGCCTTCTGTACATTGTCCCTGCTTATTACCTCCTAGCTCACTATTTGACCACCACCTCCCCTCCTCTTCTTCCCATTACCCCTCCTCATCCTGGTTACCCGTTCCCTTACTCCCCCACCCAACTCCCCCAATTCCAACAGAAGCTCAGAGTAAGCCTTACTACTCGGATTACTCCCCCACTCGGCTGCTCATCCACAAGCTGTGCACCAGCCATTACCTGGACCTCTTCATCACCATTGTCATAGGCCTGAACGTCATCACCATGTCTATGGAGCACTACGATCAGCCGAAGGTCAGACAATAAACATTTCTAGACAGGATCACAAATTGCTTCTTGTATCTCTGCTTCTGTCTCCTTGAACCCTAGTCGGCCTCAGCAGATGGCCGCTCACACTGAGCCTGGTTCTGCTGGAGGTTTCTTCCTGTTAAAAGGGAGTTTTTCCTCTCCACTGTTGCTACAAGCGTGCTTAGTGTGAGGGACTGCTTTCGAGTCGATGCAATCAACTGTTTTTCCTTAGATAGAAAACTTTGAATGAATTTGACTGTATGATCTGGTGAACTGTAGAGTGCCTTTAGATGACGTGAATTGGCGCTATAGAAATAAACTGAATTGAATTGAAATTCGCCATGTGGAAGATTTTAAATCCCTTGAACCTTTTTCCTCTATTAGCGAGACTTAAAATTAAAACTGTATTTTTGAAAGATCAAAAGGAATGAATTTATTGTGTAGTAATAATAAAAAATGATGCATATTTTAGAAGAGATGCCTAAATAAGAACCTTAAAAGAGGAGGGGGATCTCGAGCATTGAATATACTATATATGTGTTGTGTGACAGGAGAAGGTATTTAGCTGAATGGATGCACTGATTAATAAGCAGTACATTTGAACAATTAGAAAGTTAAAGTAGACCGCAAGGTAAAGAAATGTTTTACAAACTGTGCCTTGCTGTTTGGTGTGACTTTGCCACCCTTGAGAGATTATTTAAATCCTTGCTGACCTGCAGCGCTCTCTTTGACGCTCTCTTAAAGGTCAGTTTTTACATGCAGATGGAAACAGTTTTCACAGTGGCATCAGTGTGATTTTGTGCTCGGTTTAACTAAAAATATAGTATCTGGTGCTAAATATGATCTCTTTGTTATATACAGAAGCTTACTAAAGCACTGAAGAACTGCAACTACATCTTCACCGTTATTTTCGTTCTGGAATCAGTCTTCAAGCTGGTGGCATTCGGATTTCATCGCTTCTTCAAGGACAAGTTAGTATATGGCATTTCTTTTCCCTTTGAAAACGACTTTGTAATTCACCAGCACAATCCCAACAGGAGACGAGTACTGCAGCATTGCTGACATAAATATGCATTTAAACACATACAATCACCTCATTTGTCCAGACCAAAGAGTTTGATTCTAATTCTTAAGAATACAAGCTAAATAAGCATATTGCATCATGATTTATCTGAGAAGGGGGAAAAAAAACCAGCAGAGATGTTACAGTAAACCTAGTTTAACAAAACCACTTACACCCTTTTCTATCTCTTTACAAAGTAGTGGTATTTCCACTTCTCTATTTGATTGATTTGAGGTGGAACATTTGGTTTTCACTCGGTTTACTAATATATGCATCTGTTGTGTCATGTTTTTCACGTGTTTGGCCCACATGCAGACAACACTCGGGAGACAGGAAGCAGATTCAGGGTTTTATTAAAGCTCAGAAATAAATTCAGAGAAACGAGAAAACTAAACAATGAGTCAGCGTCAGGCAGAGTCACGGGACCGGGGTTTGCACGAGCTGAAAAGGGAGAGATGAATTAGACAGCGCGCCGCGGACGGGCCGCGCGTAAAGAGGTGCGTAAGGCTTACCACTGAGCTCAGAAAGCGCACTGGGGAGGTGGTGTGGAGGAGCGGACTCAGCGCTGCCTGGGTGAGGTGATCCGGTGACTGGGTGACCGATGAGCGGGCCGGGGAAACTCGTGCAGGATCCAAGCTGCGCCGTTGGGAGCAGTGATCAGCGATCAGCTGGAGACACCAGGCGAGCACTGGGGAAACGCCCGGAGCAGGTTTAGAGTCGAGGGAGCGTTCTAGGAGACACAGGAGAAAGGTGATCAAAACAGGAAAGGTTCAGGCTGTCAAAGACAGTGGCCAACTGAGGCGTACCACACAAGGTTAACACTCTGGCATCCTCCAGCTGTCAGAGAGCTCCTTTTATAGCGCAGACAGGTAACCACAGAACGAGCCTCAGGTGTGTACCACGCCCACCAGTCAACTCCAGTCACCTGTGCAGAAAGCAGGGGCAGAAAAAGCACAACACTACCTGCTGAGTCCTGACATGTTGTAATTTACAATGTGTTTTAAAAAAGGTGAAAAAGGTTAGTGAAAAGTTTGTATTTATGTTTTAATTCGACAATGTTTAGAGCTATGTCAGAATTTTGTCAGCTGGGTTTTTTTCATTAAATCTGTTCAATTCCAGGTGTTTGCTGGAAAAAAATGCATAATATCTGGGAAAGTATATAAGAAAAAAGATGTTTTACTGACACATATCTAAAATGTCTTAGGTACTAAATCATTCTCAAGACTAAGCCAAAAGCAATTAATCCAGGTAAAATGTTTTGGCCTTACAGGGAAAATACTGTTTTTTCTGCACCTCAAATGGAGCAATATCAACACTTGGTTCTATAGATTATGGGTCGTGGTCTCCAGACATTTCTAATTTCCTGGACATGTTGAAAACTTTTATTTCAGCTCAGCTGTAATTCAGAGATACCATATAATGTGCCATCCTATTAACGTTTTATAAATGGTATGCTAAGGCAGCACTTACATAATTATTTTGTTTGTTTTTTAGGCATAGCAGTCCAAATGTTCTGTCTCCCATGATGAAAATTTTCCTGCCTCATCTTGCCAAATGTTTTGCTGCATGGCATGGGACCTGGTTATTAATTGGCTGAATGTGTTGCCCAATTCATTAAACTTACAATTGTCTTACTGTTTTGTCCACTTATAAGGCCTGATATACAAGATTCCAAACATACATATTTTAGTACCTGCAATAAGTGGGTGTAAACTGATTAAGTTCAACGCAGTAATTAGGATAAGATGACGATGATTAAAAATATAACTGTGTTAATATTAGATAATATTTATGGTGCACTTCATAATAGTTTCACGTAGTTTCTCAGTGTTTTTTTTTCCCTTCCCATATCTGTTTCTCATCAATGTTATGCGATGTGTTGTAAAGTGTATAAAAGATGTAATAACGTTCTGCTTGTGGAACATTTGCTACACTCAGGTGAATTTAGCCTGAAACGCTGCTCGCCTTCGAATAACCTTACAGAGAAGAGATTGATCTTCCCTTACTTTATTAAAACACTACATTACTCCTTTCAAAATTTTATTTCCATAGAAAAAAGTAAAAGAAAAATTATAAAACGGGCAAGGAAAAAGTTATACATTTTTTCCCATAACTTTAATGGGATTACTGCCAAATGAGGACGGTATAATTTACCATAGAAATATAGATTAATTGATTTTAGGCACCAAACTGCAACTGGTGGTGAGCCTGAAATAGTTGGTACTCCTTTTGAGTCAATATAGTGGCTGTCTTTTGGCTGAATAAAATTTTATATTTAAAACTTAAATATTTTGCCATGTCTTAACCAGGGCTTGAAAACTAAATTTTTCAATTGTTCCGTTTCAAACAGTTCAGCTATGTTTAACGTTTTCGCCACAGCATATTGGCCCTGAACCGGTTCATGTAAAAGCCATAATAGATTGCAGCATTCAATCCGTAACAACCACACTGGCCAGCTGTCTAGTTAGCTCACATGAACAGTGTAGATGCTGATTTGTTTTTTGTAGCTAGAAAAAAGTCTAATATTTGCAACCTTTATAGTGAATTACTAAGTTAACGTTATTATTTGGATTTGGTTAATTCAACTCAGTTACCTTTGTTTATGTTTGATGATAGCTCAGTTGCGTCTCAGCATCTTGCTGGGGTGGTAGTGGAAAAGGAATAGGAAATACTGCCAGCTGCCTGGATTGAGCCTGGCGTCGGCGATTGAACATACAATGGGAAATAGTCGTTTTCCACACTGACATTGGCTATGCTTTTGTGAAATTTTATAAAAAATATATAGAGAAAGGAAAATAAAAATCTTATTAACCATTTTTTTGGATTGCAGAATAACGTTTCAGCTGAAGACCATTTTATTTTGGTTTCTGTTTCCGTTCCTGGTAAAATTCAGTTCTTTTCCGGTTTTCGTTTTCATTCCTTCAACTGGTTCGGAGTAATCAGGGTTACAGAAGCTCATCCGCCAAACTGAGATAATCTAATATTTAGTCCAGTTAAAGTTGAATTTAGGCATTGAAGTCCGACTGAAATCCAACTTTAAGTTAATGCCACAGTGCTGGAGAGAAGGATTGGCTGGTAAGTTTTCCTTTCTCACTTTGCAGGGAACCATATTTGTTAAATGTTTTGCTGAAATGAAGTGCTGTTCAGCAAGTTGGTTATAGTGACTGATAAGTGTTGTTGTGTGTGTGTAGGTGGAACCAGCTGGACCTCATCATTGTGCTGCTGTCCATCATGGGCATCACTCTGGAGGAGATTCAGGGCAACGCCTCAAACGCCTCCAACGCCTCAATGCCCATCAACCCCACCATTATTCGCATCATGAGAGTGCTGAGGATCACAAGAGGTGTTGTCTCCGCACTCTCCTTCTGCCTTTCTGTACTCTGCTATACACGCCAATGCAGCTCTTCCTTAAATGCGCATGTACTTTTATGGATTCTAGTAAAACAGCCGCATCGCTGGGACTTCCCTATTTGTCATTTTTGCATGAAAGATCCCAGCAGGGCTCGGGCTGAGTGAGCTAACCAGATGGCACAGGGAAACACATTGGGCAGACAAACAAAGCACTTGCAAGGACCTAATCTGAAAAAAGCTAGAATATGATAGTTGGGGGGATAAATATGGACATAGGAGAAAGATGGAGAATAATGAATAACTTTCACCTAAAGATAAATTATTGGGAGATGGCATAAGGTAATAAATACAGTAGTTCTCCGAGGCAAAAGACTGACCTGAAGTAAATGAGGACAGGAAGGATATATAGAGAGATGTTAAAAGAGACGGAAGCATGTTTGATGAGTAAAAGATGAGCAGGGATGCTGATACCAAGTAAATGCTACAATACTGTCCAGATACTGTGTCTGCCCAGTTAGTTAAAGTCAATGTAGGATGAGATAAGGAAGGCAGAAGCTACATGATAGAGGAAAGTTAACCCCTGCTTTTCATCTTTACAACAACGTAACTAAGTTTTCTACAAACTCTTAAGGCTTGGATGTATCCACCCTAATTACCTGAGTCCTACAGTGACTGTTAGTCACTTTAAAGGTTTTCTTTGGGTGCTTTAAAACTATATAACCGTTTTACTTCCTCTAGAAAGTCTTATCTTTTTAGCTACCTCATCGAAACCATCCACAAGATTGGTTCCCCATGAACAAGGAGAGATAGTATCACAGTATTTTGGATAGAAACAATACATCTTTTTCTTTTACTTTTATAATTTTTGTATACAAAAAAGAAAACATTTTTACAAATGAAAGACTAGGAATAACTCAGTGCTGTTTTTACAAGTCCTTACTTGCCTTAATTAAAGATAATATTGATAGAAAGATAAATTGTGTTTTTCTTAAGATTCAAAAATATATTTTATAAAATGTTTAGTTCTATTAATAGCTAATGGGCTAATACGGCTTTTTAAATGCCTATGTAACCTAAATAATATTTTATCATTTTCTTCATAAGTACTATATTCTAACTTCCTCTCCTACTTAAGAATAATCATAAATAGTAAAAGAATGTAAAAGGGATATTCCTACAAAAGAGGAAACGAATGCCCTCATTCTTAAGTTAATTTATCAACAAGTCCCTGAAACCCCTTTAAAAATAGGGAGCGAACGGCCGCTGGTTGTGTGGAAGCCATTCCTGAGGCAGCGATGCTGAAAGACAACGAGGATCTGAGGCAGACTACACAAGAACTGAACTTAAATAATAAAACTTTTAGACGCGCTAGAGGCAGCAGGAGCAGCTAGTTTACATGCAAAGTCAATGGTTGACGTGCATCAAAGCGCAGCAAAAGGTCCTGCAGCGCGGCTGAGCAGCAGAAGCAGTGCCTCATAAGCTTCTGAGCATCTGACGCGTGTGACGTGCTGCAACAGCAGCAGCTGCTCGAGTTGGAAAAACTGAACTTTTGCTGCTTGACGTGCCACATCGACCAATCAGAGAAGCTGATCTGGGAGTTGGCAGGGAGACAAACATAGCACTGCTGATGCAGATCCCTATGATCACTCCTCTAAAACAGTTTATCAACCCCTACGAGTGGGTCTGAGCGGCTCAGGTAGCGAAATATTACTTGAAGGCAGGATCGTAATGAAGTAATGATGTTTTCAGGTGGACTTTCTCACGTAAAAACATTTCAAAAATACTTTGTACTCACGTTTAACAACAAATATAGCAAAGCCGCTCTCTGCCATTGAACACAGGAGCAGCAGATGCATCAGGCGCATCTGGACACACTTAACTGGACGCACTTCAGGAGCGTCAAAGATCCATCAGACCTTAATGTGTACAAGCAGAAAAATGAAGCAGCAGAAGCTTTTATGCTGCTTCCACTGTGTGTGGTCTGAACCTAGCATAAGACTCTCACAGAGTATTTAACACTGCTTAGAAAGTTGAGGTAAGGAATGCAATAACTACAATAATATGTGCAATATGTGCATTGGTCAGACATAATATGAAACATGTCTCTAGCCATTTGTAATATACAGTGCAGCCGTTGTTATGGTTTGAGGAAGTTTTTGAAGGAGTCAGGTTGAAATTTGTTTCCAAACTGATTGAATTGCAAATGCAGAGAGATTTGAAAACAATATAGATACTTACACATGTGTGAACATAAACTTTGGGCTGATCAAACAGGAGGATGATGCCAATCACGCAAGCAGTGAACACAAGCCTTATATCAGCAAGTAATACCAAAGCATTGAATAAAGTGGTGTTAAGTACACTACTATTGGACTCTAGAGCAACTGAGACGTGTTCTTCACCTCTTAGCTGGGAGATTCAATGGATGAATCTGAGTTTAGAGGTTGCCTAGAGGCTTTGTTTTTGTTCAGAGAGTACTATGATGTGGTTTAATTTTCTGGAGTATGGCCCTTAAGCTGAAATACTTTATCTGAACAAGACAGTTGGTCAGTTTCATGCTTTCAAATGTATTAGAAAAGTTAGAGACTGTGCAAACAACAGATAAAGGACCTAATGACAAGGCTTGTACAGTAGGTGTATTTTGGAAAAAAAGACCATCCTCAAGCCAACAGACACATTTGGCATCGTCATTTGAATCTGACTCCAAAAATATACTTTTGTAAGGGTCAAAGAATTGCAAAGAAACCTCCCTAAATGTCATGGAAAGCCTTTACAAAAGAGATCAGTCTGTTATATTTGCAAAGTCTATATGTTTGTGAGGTTGATTGGGAGATTACTTGAAATTAGTCAGCAGACGAACAAAGAGAAGAGGTTAATAGAATTCATTGAATAATGATTGATTCACACAATTTCTATGGGATTTTAGAAAGTGTTTTCAACTTTGTAGAAGTTTGGATCTAACGTCTCTATTTATGTAAGCCTGTGTATTTCATGATATTTTATGTATTGTGTGTGTTTCTCCGCAGTGTTGAAGCTCCTAAAGATGGCGGTTGGAATGAGAGCTCTGCTGGACACCGTTATGCAAGCTTTGCCTCAGGTATCCAACCAGCTCGCCTAAATACCCAGAAGCCATTGAATTCGCTATTCTGTGTTTATTTATATATTTGTTGTTGTTGTTTTTTGGGGTTTTGGGGATGGATGTAACCCTAATACATCCCAGAGCTGTTCTCTGTATAATTACATCTCAGACTCATTTCTATGCAGTCAATATTTTTACATTTCACAGCATCATCTTTTCCCACCAGCCTATTCCCCCTGTCTCTATGCAGCCTTAGTTGCATTAGCATTTCCCCTGCTGAGGCTGTGGAAGGAGTGCAGTTCGAGGTTTTGTTTGGAAAACCCGTGGGTGGATTTTCTGGGTGAGAGAGTTGGTAAATTGAAGCAACTTTCTACAGTTCCGATTGAGAAAAATAAAGAAAATCTGCGCTCTTCTCTCAGCGTTCTTTGATAGCACCTCTGTCATCTTCATTCAGGCAGTGACAGTGTCACAGTGAGTGCTATTCCAGGCTAAATTCAGCCAGAGCTTGTCAGAAATGCTCAGAATTGATAAAGGCGATAACAGGAGGTGATGTGGGTGTGAGCAGGTTGCTGCTTGCTAATTTGCTCTGACAGCAAATCCAAGAACTCTTCATTACCCAAAACCCACCGCTGTTATAAAGCTGTAATCCACTATTATATCTGTGTCTCTTGTATCTGTTATCTGCAGCTCAGGTTCTTCTTTTTAAGACCTTACAGTAAAATACACATTTTGTCCATTTTGTTTCTTTTCTAAACAAATGAAGCCAAACTAAATAAGGCATTTTACATTAGATAATCCTCCTATAAGCAGAGTCACTAGTTCCAGTGTGATGAAGAATATAGCATTATATGAACTTGTGCCCTCTGAATTCCCATCCACTTCTTAAATTATTCACACCCCTTAAACCTTTAATAATTGATAATAATAAAGTGGGAAAAAAGATGCATGAAGAAAATCCCAAAAGTGTGAGGAGCGCGATTGAGGTAATCAAACAAACAGCGAGCAAAATAACAGAATGACCTAGATCTAAGTATATTAATGTGTTAGAGAGGAGCTAAGGTTCACAGCTGGATGCATTTAAGGAGCTGTAGCAGCAGCTTAACAGATATCCTGGAATCTGCATGAAATGCTGACAAAAAAAAAATTCAGCAAAGCTTCTAATAAGCCTAAATATAAACGCTCTTCTGAGGCATGTTTTGGTTTTGAAGCCATTTATTATATGCCTTCCTATTCACAACTACTGAATGCATGACTTTGTTTGGTCTAAAACATAGAATATAGGACAAAACATAAAGTTTGTAGAGGGGTAACTTTATTTCTACAAGACACTGTATGGAAATAGGGCATGAACCTCAAAGATTCTGAATAAAGAGCTCTAAAGCCTTTGTGCTATGAAAAAAATCCTACAATGCAATAAGTGGGGTTGTTGAAGGTGATCTATAAATATTGCAGGTCCTGTTTATAGCACCTACAAAATGGTATTTTTAACAAAAGGATTTTGCTTGAACTTCTTACATAGAAAGACAAAATTCAAGATCATGGAGTTAAAAAACAAAAACAAATTAGAATTAATATACAGAATATTTTTTGTTTTTTTTTGTTTTTTTACGAATGAGGGACAAATGGAGCGTGAGATTGACAGACAGATTGGTGCAGCGTCGGCAGTGATGTATAGGACTGTATAGCACTGTTGTGGTGAAGACGGAGCTGAGTCGGGGGAAAGCTCTCGATTTACCGATTGATCTACGTTCCAACCCTCACCTATGGTCACGAGATCTGGGTAATGACTGAAAGGACAAGGTCAGGAATACAAGCAGCCAAAATGAGTTTCCTTCACAGGGTGGCTGGGTTCACCCTTTGAGATCGGGTGAGGAGCTCAGTTACCCAGGTCGAAAGGAGCCAGCTGAGGTGGCTTGGGCATCTGTTTACCTCCTAGTCGCCTCCCTCTGGAGGTGTTTCAGGCATGTCTCATTGGGAGGAGGCCTGGTGGAAGGCCCAGGACACGCTGGAGGGTATATGTCTCTGAGCTGGCTAGGTGTCGCCTTTGGGTTCCCCGAGAGCAGCTGGAGGAAGTGTGTGTGGATCAGGAAGTCTGGGCATCTTTGCTTCGACTGCCCCGGATTAATGGATGGATGGATGGATGGATGGATGGATGGATGGATGGATGGATGGATGGATGGATGGATGGATGGATGGATGGATGGATGGATGGATGGATGGATGGATTGTTTTTAATGCATTTCACATTAATGTATCTCAAAGTGCTACAACCAACAATGAAAGCACCAACAAAATCAAAACAATAAAGAAGACTTTAAAACCACCAAATGATTAAATATATAGCTATAAACAGCTGCCACCTTTGGTTCCAAACACATGTAAGATTTGCACTATGATAACTGCTAAATAAAGGTTACACTGAAAAAGATAATGCAACCGCTTTTGGCATTTACTTAATCATATTTAGTTACTTTAACACAATTGTTTTATGTCCTACCCTGTTACCATGAAACAATTGTGTTAAAGTAACTAAATATAATTAAGTAAATGGCACAAAAAATTGCATTACTTTTTTCAGTGTATAGTTGCATGAACTCAAAGCTGGTTAATGTCGAAGGTCAGACATACAAGGAAGTCAAAAATAAGTAAAGCCCAGAAAAATCAAATTGATGCTGCCTAATGTTTTTATGTCTGAATTCCTTACTTAATTGATCAAGAATTTAACTAAAAATACGCAGTTACTATACTGTACCTAAGTAACTTTTTATTTTTATTTATTTTTCTGAGAACTTTTTACTTTTACTCACTATATTTGAACAAACATATCTGTACTTTCTAATTATTTCTTTCCCCAAAATGTCTCGTTACTCTATAAATATTTAAAGGACATGACATAACAACCACAACAAAAGAGGAAATCAAGAGCAGGAAGGGAATCTGTCCAGTTTTGTTATAGAAATACATTGATAGTGACATGGATGAAGACAGGGGGTCTAGAAAACATTGATTGAGGGATCAGATTCTCAAATGCAAGACCTTCCCCATTTCCCTTATTATTTTTTTCTTATTCAAAATGTTAATATTTAAAGTTCTCCTTAATTTTTCATGCTACAGTATGTTGCAGCATGAGTACTGTGAATATCAAAACTCTAAAATTCAGCTTCTTATGCAGGACTTCTGTTCAGTTCAGTCTATATTTTCCTGTCTAAAAACGTAATTTTAAAACAGCTTTTTGTATGTTTTCTCTGCTAACACAGTGAGCAAAATATAAAACTTAATATATTTTCTGTGCTTATAACTTTTTTATAGGAATATGGTTTATATAACTTAGTTTGCATCTTTTAAAGCAAAAACTTATTTTTTCTGTTGAACAATTTAAAACTTTAAGTTAGTAGAGTAGTTTAATCTGTACTATTTATTTTACTAGCGTGTTATTTGGACAGGTATCTCAAATTTTTTTTAAAGATGTCAGTATACACCTCTGCTACTAACTCTTTAGCTCAAAACAGAGACAAGTCTAAACTAGAGCCGTGCAGAATCTATACAGTGCCTGGATAAGATATCGGCGATCCAATCAAGTGCACTTTACAGTATATGAGTCTATTATTTCTTTGTTTTTACTGATTATTTGTAAATAAATAAATCACATTTATAGCTATGTACCATCCTGATAAGCCTTTAATAGAGCAATACCTCACTTAGTCTGTCTCTATCTCTTTAGGTGGGGAATCTGGGTCTCCTCTTCATGCTCCTCTTCTTCATCTTTGCTGCGTTGGGAGTGCAACTATTTGGCGACCTGAGTAAGGAAGCATTCACGGTTTAAACAGACAGCTTAAGATAGATGTGAAGATCTTCATTTTTTAATACCGCTCAGTGTTCACAGGCAGGCATTGAGCCTACCCTGCTCCACTCTCAGGGTTTAATCTACCTGATTTTAATTGCTTTCTAGGATCCTTTGTTAAAAACACCACATTGATCTTACTAATTGTGTCCCAGAGCTTTCAGATTAATAAAACAGAATGAGGATAATTGTTCCACTGCAAAGAAAAGTCATGGATTTAACTGTCTTGATGTTTCTGGTTTCCTCTCTGTCCTTGTCTGCAGTCTGTGATGAGAGCCATCCATGTGAGGGTCTGGGTCGCTACGCTAATTTTAAAAACTTTGGGATGGCATTTCTGCTGCTCTTCAGAGTTTCGACTGGCGACAACTGGAACGGCATTATGAAGGTCAAACTTGATGCAAAAGCATGCTGTACACTAATTTCACTGACTTACATGTCTGATAATGCTCAATTATCTCTAATCTAAAACTGACTGAACGGATCGCAGCGCAGGAGGTGGACCCATAATGCAACAGCAGTTTTCTCTCACCATACCAGTCACCATTGAAATGGCAACAGATGTCTTAATTTTTTTAGTATTAGGTCTCAGAAGAGTTATTTATATTGTTTAAATTTCAATAAATGGCAACAATAAAAGCTTTTCTTTGAAAAAAAAAAAGTTAGTTTCACGTCCACAGCTTTCTTATTGGATCTAAACTGTTTTTCTGGCTCTCTTGGTCCCGCCTTTGTAATCAGGCTCTAGTCACTCCTTTCCAGACTAATATGCTGTTTTTGGCTAATTAGTTGGCCTGGTTAGTATTTAATTGAGATTAAATAATCTTACATTATTGTTAAATGGACAAAAAACAATGCATGACTCTTAATTTCTTTAAAAAATGTTACCCACTGTCTTAACATGTTCCTCCAGGAGGAATAAATTCTAGAAGCGAATGACTGTATACCAAAACGCTGCCAATGCAGCATTAAACAGAAGCTGTAAGTTAGAAGCACATTCAGCAGTCGTCTGAAACATGTCAAATACATTGATATACCTTGGAGATAAGTTCTTGATAAGTTATGCAGAAGTTACTCATATGTTTTTGATAAGCTAGACGCCACGACTTATGAGTAACTTTCTCGTAACATATGTCAATAATCAGAGAACTTACCTGTAACTTACATGTCTGGCATACGCTGGTATACTCGACATACTTGCCGTATGTCGATATACATATACAAAACGTACCCATAACTTATCCAACGTATGTCAGCATTTTTGCCAGATTTTTCATACGTCAGGCATACACTGGTCTATATATCGTCAAGGTGTGACAGGGTGTTTTAGATTCCTTAAACCTTTTCACCAAACTATTTATAATTTGATTGATCTGCATTGAACTATTTCTGCCATATATGATAGCCAAAGAGTCACGGCCTCTTTTGTATTTGTCTTTTTTGCAACAAGCAAATGGCACTTCAGTTTTTTAAACAATAGTTTCTCCCTAAGACAACTGCAAAGGCCATATATGTATACGGCATAACTATAGAGGGTCAAATTCCCAGATTCTTCCACCAGAGCTGTGGATCTCTACAACTCCGCCAGAGTTACTATGTGCCTATTGTGGTAATTTTCCATTATTAACAGATACATGGAAACAATTATTATTTTTAGTTTCTGCTCAGATGTGTTTCTGAGTTTTCTGAAAGTCTTGCTTAAACCGAAACGTCTGAAAACTGCTGGAGTTTTCCATCCTGATTCTTGCAGCCTTCTCTGGCTCTCTTCTTTTACCACAAGCATGACCTAAAGCCAGAAAAAGGGCAGAAGCTACTCCATAGGAAAACCAGCCATGAGGAGGATATTTCAGATAAGCAGAAACAAGGACTTATTATGAGGAGTTAAGGGCCATTTGACACATACCAGGTCAAGTTGTCATTTCCCAGCATTTTAGCAAAGGAGAACACCTAAAGATTTTGCACTGCTATGTGTGTTTCTCAAAATACAAAACATTTCTGCTTGTGAAGTGAAAAAATTTAAATGTTTAAGATATAAAAATATGAAGCAAAATGACTTAAAGAGAGTGATACAGTAGTATGTGCCACGTGATGAAGCTGATGATTTGGACTTCAAAATTATATTAATAACATTTTTCAAAGATGAAACAGAAACTGACTATTGGCAGGAGGTTAAAAGTAAGGATTCTTGGTTACATCTTTGGGGGTAACTTAATTATATTGTGGTGTCTGCGTTAATATCAATGTATTATCAAACTACATAAAAAATACTGTCCTGGGACTTATTTATGTTTTGTCACCCTTTTGCAGGACACTCTGAGGGACTGTTCACCAAACAATGGGACGTGTTACTTCAAAGTGGTCTCTCCCATCTATTTCGTCTCCTTTGTCTTGACTGCCCAGTTTGTCCTGGTCAATGTGGTCATCGCTGTTCTGATGAAGCACTTAGAGGAGAGCAATAAAGAAGCCAAAGAGGAGGCAGAGCTGGAGGCTGAGTTGAATCTGGAGGCACAAATGGAGGAGGCAATGGCATCAAGATCGCCCCAGCTCAACCCCCTAGCCTCTGGCATAGACAGATTGAGCTCGGAGGATTCCCCGTTCAGGTCATCTGGAGGAGGAGACATGGAGCAGGAAAGGCAAAGTCCTATCAACTCTCCCACTCCTGATATAACCAGAAAATCTGTAGACAGCGATGCAGAACCTTGCTCAGACTCACAGCTGCAGGTAGAGGTAATTTATTTATTCATTTTTTGGCATGTGATTGTGTTAGAGTGTGTTGGTTTGGTTTTTCAAGGTCTTACAACTGCCATTTTTTTCTGATTGATTAGATATCATCAATAACAAAACATTCTGAGAATCAACAGGAAAGTTTAAATCTAGAGACTAAACGACAGATTTTTACCCAATTCCAAAACAGTTTGTTCTGGACTTCTCATGTACATCCTTTTACTAAATGTCAACATTTACATATGTATAGATTTGGGGGCTGCACAGTAAAGCAGTGGGTAGCACTGCTGCTTTGGAGCAAGAAGGTTCTGTATTTTTCTGCATGGAGTTTGCATGTTCTCCCTGAGCATGCACAAGTTCTCTCCGGGTACTCGGCTTTCTCTCACAGTCCAAAAACATGACTCTTGGGTTATTTGACTTCTCTCAATTGTCCTTAGGTGTGAGTGTCTGTGCATGTGCAAGGTTGTGTGTCTTTGTGTTGCCTTGCGACAGTCTCACGACCTTTCTAGGGTTTATCCTGCCTCTGCGCCATAGATTGCCGGAGATAAAAATTGGATGGAAACTAAAGTTTTTAAAATTCAGTGTTTAGTTACTCTTTAATGTAATGTGCAAATAAACTACCGCATGCATAGTTTTACGTTATTCGACATCCTGATTTTAACTATCCTTCAGCTTCCCATATTTTTAACTGCAGGCCTCAGTGTTTTATAGAGATTGTATGTGACATACGAACACAAAGGAAATCAGATAAGACACAAGATAGCTTGATAGCATTTGTATTTAGCCTTCTCTGATCTAACATCCCTAAACTAAATAAAGAAAAACCAACTGCTTTCAAAAGTTATGCCGTTGGTTAATAGGGTCCACCTGTGAGTAATCTAGCCACACCGGTTCGTTAGAATGATTTTATTTTGTTGGATTAATTTCGAATGGCTGTTTAAAACAAGCAACATGATTCACTTCATCTGGTTTGTGGCTTTTCAACTGTGCTCCATGTTTTATTAAACTTCTGTTAATGGTTTAACGAGCTGTGCTTTTATCTACCAGGGTTGAAGATTTTCAACCCTGTATCTTGATTTGAATTTAAGGATTTTAATTAAAAGCTAAGTTAGGTTATAAAATGACTTTTATAGTATTGACACTCCATAGAGCACTGTTTAATCCACAATTTGATAAGTTTATCTGTAAAGGAGATTTTGAACCAGTGTTTAAAAAGGGGGGCGTTTACATCAAGATCCCTAATTCAAAACACAGATTGCCATACTATGGCAATGAGCAAGACTCTTAGTCTAGAAATACCCTCTGGTTATTGCAAAAAGTTGCCAGCTGCTTCTGAAATGTGGCAAATGCAGAGGAATAACTTTAATAATATGCACATTTGCAGTGTCAATTAAAGGTGATTATATAAGGCTTAATAATACACCTAACAACAAATGGCTTTCCACCTAAAGAAAAAGATTGGGAAAAGGAAGCATTATGGCATTTAGATACTTTGCAGGAACCCAGGAATGTATCCTAGATCCAAGCAGAACTGTTTTTGGGGACTTAATGACAGAAGGATGACTGTTATTATTTGCTATGAGTTAACTCTGTTAACCATAGATACTTCAAAAACAACCAACTCTTTAATTATTTTTTTTTCGCCTGTCTTAAAGAGGTTTAGTTCTTTATCAACTCTATGTAACTAATTCTGACTCATGTAGCTGATTAGTTTGTTATCGTCACTTCCTCTTTCATGTGCGTATGTGTTTGAGTTTGCCTGTGTTTGTGTGTGTATGTGGCTGGTCCCTGAAGGCAGCATGCCAGTCAGAGACAGGTCACAGTGCCATGGGAAAGCTCAACCATGGGTCTTGTTGTTCACTTCAACTGCTATTTCCAGACAGCAGGGGGAACTTTCTGGGGATAGGAAATCGAGGTCTTGCTATTGTTATCTTTCCCCTTTTAAGAAGCTACCCATCTCTCTCTGCTCCTCTGAGTCTTTCGCCAAAACCTCCTTTCTATCAGCTGCAAGAGCAGATCTACAGTGTTGTAGTGCCCCTTGTGGGGTTGAAGCTCAGCACATGCATGCTTTTTATTGTTGTCTTTACAGCATTAATAGTTAAATGTCTAAATCGTCATCAAATTCTTCTGTCTGAATATTTGCTTTGAGTTCTTTGTTATTGCATATCTGATCGATCATATTATTTCCTTTCTTTTTAATCTTTATTTTACTTCATTTATTAATTTTTCTGTGTTTATATATGTATATATCTTAATATACCTATCTTTGCTTTCACTAATTTCCTCCAGTTTTTATTTTTCCTTTGTTTTCTTAATCTTTTCTCTCGTAATCTCCCTCCGATGTCCCAGTTTGTGCAGGGGAGAGCACTTTTTGACTCAATCTCCCTGGTCATCCAGGGCTCTATGGAGGGAGAGCTGAATTTGATGGACAACCTGTCCGGCTCGATCTGCCACTTCTACGCGCTGCCCCCCAGGCCCAACAAGCACAGCAGAGACAAAAAGGTCAATAATCACCAGAAACCCTCTAATCACTCACCTCCTCCTCCATGCTATACATCCACTGGCTTATTACACAACTTCACAGCAAATAGTAAAGGGAAATCCCATTAGTCAAAACAAAACACAAGCACGTAAATGTTTTTTTTTCTATTTTCATTCTTTAGTTAATAATTCACCTGCATCCCTCTTTTAGTGTTCTTCTGTGAAATCAACAGTTTTTGGGGAGCGGTTAATTATCTAATGTAATTTTAATTTCATACAAGGTTTTGATATGTTAGCTAAGTGTATTTGTACATATTTTATAATAAAAATCTCCTGCATTTAAATATTTCCTTAGGAGTACCAAACCTTGACTCTCTGGTTGATAGTTCAGTAAGTATTACTGAGGCCCTGTGCATATATGCATGGGATAACATGAATATTTTGAAAAATGTAATTTTATGCAATGTCTTTCGCATTTCGTGTCCTCTGTCCGACCGAGATTTGCGAATAAATATTACGATTTTCAATTATTCTTCCTTTGTAGACCCGGATATGCATTATTAAATGTATAATCTAAGTACTAACAAATGAATACATACAACTGCTGCCTTCGCCATGATGCTTAACAAATAAATAGTTTTTAATTGTAGTTTTTGTTATTAAATTTCAAATATGTGCTCCAAAACTTATATGGCAGAAAGAACACCTTAGAAATGATGCCCTTTTTGGCCTAGGTTTGCTTTTGCCCTGCTCTAGATCTGAGTTTAAGTTTTGATATTAATAATCCTGACTGTATCTTTTGCTGCTCTGCATGATGCTTTTCTTAAAAAAAGAAAAAAATTCTCATTAACTAGAACCAGAAACCACATCATGTGATTAAAGAACATAATTAATCCGAGAAAAGGGAAGAACTTCCCTCAATTATTAAAGTATACAGTGATTCACATAGTTAACCAAGTAATATGCAGTAATTGGAATCCAAATTATGGGTCGATCTGGTATTTTGAGGCAATTGCCTCCCTTTACCTAATAGAAATGCATCCCACACTAATTTGCAAAAAAAAGATTATGCTCGTATTTGACCATCAGCTTAAAGCCACTGCTCCAAATATTTTTTGTCATTTTTTTTCTTACAGTTTCAATAAAATCTAAGACAAATATGTAACTAATTAGATAATTTAGCTTCTTAATAGCACCATAATTTCAGAACTAAATACCAATGATGGTTAGTGTCTTTGTTGTTTTTCTTACATATTATGACATACCATTTATTTAACCTAAAATTGACAATGTCAACTTCCAAAATAAATTCGCTGAAGTAAATCTGTTAATGAATACATTGTCACTTTGCCTAAACTGTTAACAGGATCGTAGCATGTAGAACACTTTATAAAGCTTCTCATACTCCTTGGGGAAAGTATGCATCCAATGTAATGTTTACCTTGCAGCCCTGCAGTCATCTACATTTTTGTTCTGGCATTCCTCCACGATGAATATTTTTCATTTATTCTCTACCAGCCGTGTTGCCTCCTGCAGTGCCCGCCACCTCCCATAAGTGCTAAGATCACATTCCCTCATTTTGTTAAACGTATTCGTTCTTGGAAAGATTTTGTTTGCAGTCAGGTTTGGTCAACTCAGAAACACTGGTTGATGGCTCCCTGTGTCTCCACACCTCACTGTCACTGTCAATATATCCGTTTGTAGCTGTGACACTTTGCCTGTTTGTATGGTTGATAACCAGCTTTTCCTGTCAATCAGAACAAAGGGATAACACTCACCCAAGGCGCTCCTCTGGCCAGTATAGACCAAACCTTCCAAGAGTGCAGGGAAACAGCTCAATCAATAAGCAGTATGAAACTGAATAATGCATAATTGTGCCTTTCCTTTGAAGGCAAAGTTTGGACTGTTATTGTATGTCATCACTGCAAAATCCCATCTGAAAAAAGCTTTGAATGGATTTTATTTTCAGCAATAGATGACAGAAGTTGTACTTCTCTGTAGCATTTTTGATCTGGGTAGTTTTTCACCCATTTCTGGTTCTGCTTCTGTCTCTTTCGATTAGTTTCTATAATTAATGCTTCTTTAAAACCAGGCAGATGTGTACAGACACCTTCAGAATTGAGCTATTCTCTACAACACTTTTATAAAAATAAGTATTTTTTATTCTACTTGTTTAGACATATATGCATTCAAATCATATTTTAGTCCTTCACAGCGCATCCTTATAGTTTTCAACTACCTAGAATTTTCTATTTCACATGAATTTTAAGATTGTTTAAAATACTTGTGTTGTTTTTGTTAACTGCTTTCCAAAATACTAATAAAAAATTATAGTGTCTGAAATAAAAAAGGGTTTCTTTATGCCCTGCTGGTCAGTTATAGTGAGCCTTTCAATGGACAATGGAACAAGAAAAACAGAATAACCTGTTTTTTAACTGAGATATTTTGGTCTGTACAAAAAGTTACTTCTTTGAGTTAAGTTACTATTGTGAGATTCAACAGATGGAAGCAAAAAACCCTGAAGATTATATGACCATCTCTGTTACCTGAAACAAAATGCATCCAGCAGGCAATTGAGTTCTGCTAATGTTTATTATTTGACAATGACTGCTGATGTTCAAATAAATGGAACATACAGTATGTGACTTTTAAAACGAGAAGAATAGAAAATTGTTCAGCAGTTCTGACATTAAACTTTTCTCTGCATGAAGAAAAAAAGATGGTCATTATGCCCTCCAGCAACCAAAGTCTACAACTATCCATGAGAACAAATCCATTGCTCTCTAAGAGATAGTTCCTCTTACTATAAGCTTTATTTGAAAGGAAGGCTTCAGATCAAGTCTTGGAAATAGACGAGGTGTTTGACTCACAGACTGAAATTTGTAGTTTGTTTCAATGGATAGAAGCCTTATAATCAAATAATTATGCTTCTGTACTGACTTACAGCGCTAAGCTACAATAATGACGATTAATGATATAACATATGTTGACCATGTGATTCAATAAATATTTTTAAAGGTTCTTTTTGCAATATTTATGAATCTTCTTATTATTAGAACATCAAGAAAGTTAAATATCACACAGATGTTTTTTTGCTTGAAACGCACAAAAAAAAATGGATGATTACTCTTATTTTCTATAGTTGGGGGAATTGTGTTGCCAGGGGAGACACTTGCAATAAAATCTAAATATCATTTATCAGATCTTAGGCCTACACCAGGTTTTTAGTGATCCCTTCCACTTCAGGTTTTATCCATTTGTGTTTCTATAACTGTGTCATTCGGAGTTAGCGTTGTTTTTGTCTCTTCCTGCCTAGATCCCTCTAGCCGAGATGGAAGCACTCTCTCTGGCTTCAGAGAAATCCTGGTCCCTAGCTCTGACAGACGGCTCGGCCCCTGATGATTTTAACCCCCTCTTTCTAACCGCCCTGGAATGCAATGTACTGACAGTTCTTCTCTTTCCACCTCTTCATTGCTCTTCCCCGTGCTCCGTCCTACAGTGGCTTGTACTGTCTCCTTCCCAGGGAACTTCCACAGCAACTTGTACTCCTACTACACAAACTCCTAAAAATTTGTTTGACAAATAATTTAAAAAAAAATCCTCGACCCCTAGCTAAATGCAAGAAAAGAAACATAATCTAAAAATCTACCTGCAATAATTGACGAAGGCTCTCTGTATACTCAGAAAATTATTGCCATTTGGATACAGCTGATTCTGAGCCTTAAGCTGTTTTTAAGCAGCTAATTTTTTTGGCAATTAAGATTGTTCTAATGCACTAAATTATTACAATTATCCTGAATGGATAGCCATCCATTAAGGTGGAAACTCAACATGCAATGACAAAAATAATTGATGTTTACTGAAAGATACTAAAGTGGAACAAACAGGCTACTGTTCTCCTATTCCCAAAAAGTTTTTTAATCCATTTTAGGTATAATCTTATCTTATATTTACATTCCTTTAGCAATTTACAGAGAAAATTCTGTTAATAACAATAAATATTGAATAATTATGTGTTAAATTAGGTATGACTCTTAAAGTACGATCACTGTGATCAATATGACCACAGTACATAATGTATACACATTAAAAATATTAGAACAACACACACTTAGAATGTAATCATATAACTTTTCAAAGCAGAATTCATTCAGACTATGACTAAGTTTGCATAATCATTATCATAGTAATATATGTTACATATATTCATTAAGTTGATATTGATACACAGTATGTAGCTTAATTTCAGTTATAGTATCATTCTCCTCTCTTGATGCAGATAACCAGCCCATCTGTTCATCCATCCATCTGTACATATATACAGTGCATGTATTAACTGTGTTTTTTGCTGGTGAGATATTGGAAAGGGAAGATTGGGGAGATTGACAGCTTTGACGAGACATATAGATTCCTTTTCATAAAAATGTGTTTGGTTCAAAATACTACATTTAAAAATATATATATTTTGCAAAACATAATACAAAACTCTTAAATTAACTATTATCAATATATGTATCTGTCTCTAGTCATTTCTGATTATTACTTATATTTGTCCATATATTTTAGCCCATTGTAAACTGGAACATTTTGACATCCCTTCATCCATCCATTCTTCGTCCATCCTTCCACCCGTCTGTCAGTCCGTCGGTCCATCCATCTACTTTACCACTTGTCAGTCAGGGTCAGGTCAGGGTATAGATTTTATGCCTAAATACAAGCCCAAACTAAAATCCAGGCCAGATTAGGCCCCAATGTCACAGAGATCTTGCTCTAAGATTTATTGTATTTTTTGTCTCCTAAGCTTTGTCTATTTACCTGTACAAAAAATAAAATGTGGTTACACTTGTCATAGAATAGGAGATAAGTATTTTAGTTGTTATCTACTCTCTTGTGAAGAGAAAGAAATATGGGTATTGTGGGTAATTAGGTAGAGAATACCCCACTTGTCATTCTGATCAATACTGTATTTCTCATCTACATCAAATTCAATTTGGATTGCTCCAAGTAAGACTAGAAAGTACATGAGTCTGCTTTCATTTGCAACACCCTGCATGTGACCTGCATGACATCAACATGTGGGCCCAAATTGCACAACATGAGCATCGGGGCCCAACGAACAATCCCACACAGTGTTGGTTGGATCTGGTCAGGCTTAATGCCTGCAGACCCACGTTAGATTGAGCTAGATTGTTGCGCCCAGTCTACACTCTACATTAGGCCACACTAATGAGGTAACCCAGATCGATAGGAGAAAGCATTCAGGTTTAGTTCTGCTGTACACATTATTAATCTGGGACTCCTCTGATCAAATCGGTTTGGGCAAAGGAGGGAAATTCAGCTGAACCTTTTGGCCAAAATGTAGTTCTATACAGTCACGCTAAAAATTGAAATAGCACAACATGGCATTAGAGACCACACAGCTAACTCTTATATGCTCTTACTGTTCCTCATTTAAAGAAGAAGTTGGGGATTCTGACAAAATTTATGTCATAACAGCACCTATGGCTAAATCCCCCTGTACTTCTATGTTTATTGTGGTTTAGCTTTAGGCTCTTCAGCTCTTGCTTTCATTAAAGCTATTTGCCCCTAAACCATACTTAGGCAATGTTGGTCCTTGAGTGCCCTTGCCCTGCATATTGTGCATGCATCCCTTCTTCAACACACCTGAAACAGATAAATGGTTAATTGAAAGGCCTTTGCTTAACTTGCTGACATACCAAGGAGGAAATGTGGGCTTTGGTTTCAGGTGTGTTGGAGCAGGGATATATGCAAAAACTGCAGGACAGTGGCACACGAGAACAGACGATGCCTACTCCTACCCAAAACAGTAGTGCTGCAACGTGATTGGCTGATCCGTTTCAAGTTGAACTCAAAAGGTTTTAAGTGGGAGCAGTAGGTGATGGATTCTTGCATGTTTGTGAAAGCACAAATGATTCAAGAAATTTGTACTGTGGGGCAAAAGCTAGATTACTTGGGAAGGACCCACTCTTTCAGTGGGAAAACAAACAAAGCAACAGTGCTTTAAAGCTGAAGTCTGTAAGTTTTTAAAAATCACTTTTTTGTCATATTGGCTAAAACTGTTGCTATGCCCAGACAGCAGTACATGTGATCTGTAACCTGTGAAAAAAAACTGCTTCAATTGGTACCGCCTACTGCCTGTATTTCAATCTGGAAAGAATAATTCGGGACGAGTCAAAACAACCAATCACAGCCAGAGAAGCGTCTGATGGACTGTCAATCACAGCTCACACACGCTGAAATCCCCCCCCCTTTCTGGTCGCATGCGGTAGCCGCGCAGATGCTGTGAGAGGGGTGGAGCTTGGAGGTGGGGCATGAGTGAAGCAGAGAGGGTGGGGGAGTGACGTGAAACCTGTTTTTCTTCAAATTTTCAGTCGAAGTCTGCTCTCTCCTCAATGTTACAGACTGCAGCTTTAAGCTACAGCTCTTTTAGGAATCAAATCCTAAACGAAGCACTAGTTTCCACTATTTTTTAGTTAGTACACTTTGACTTGGAATACAAACACCAGTGCCTTGTAATGGTTATGGCTTTCTAATGAACATTTAGCAGTGCAATGCATTTTTACCACAATAACACACATTAGTTTACAGAATGAATAGATTTATTTTTCTGCTCCCTGCAAGCCAAAATAAACAAAATCCAAACAAGTGTGGAAAGACAGAGCAGGAGTAAACAGTAGCAATTAACAAAAAAAAAACAAAACTAAAACATAGAGGATAAGAAAGTGTTACATTCAGCATATTAGAGCTCCATTGGCGTAATGATAAAATGTCAGAGGGAGGTGAAGGATTCGTGTAGAGGAGTAGCAAGTAGCCTTGAAAGTTCATGGTGAAGCTAAAAATATGCCTAAATTTCTCTTTTTCATTACATAATTCCAGCCTAATGTTCATTTTTTCGCTCCAGTCTAGTAGGGTAGTACACCGCCTCACCTGCCAATTAATCAATTTCTGTTTTAACTCTACTCTGTTTCTGTTCCTCTTTCACACTGTCAGCTTTGTTTTTACTCTGTGCTTAAGATGTGAGTCCACGTGTCTTATTCAAGTTTTTTTTCGGCGCGTCTCTGTCCGTACCATCTTATGTACCCTGGCATAGAAGTTTTCCTCTACTTAGAGCTATTTTGTTTACGTCACTGTGATGTGTTGCAAGAACCTATAAAAATCTGTTATTGATATCAAGTGATTCTGTAGGGTCATGCTATAAAAAGGTTTTTTTATACAAAAAGAAAATATTTTGCTTCATAAAAGTTTAAAGATTCTCTGTTCTCTGTATATGCTGATAATCATGGTCTTTATGTGCATGTGATGTATCATAGAGGTAACGGCTGTAAATGTGCTAATGAATCTGTGAAAATGCTTGAGTTAAGGAGCAGCCATATCCCATTAAAGCTTAGAAGGATCCTGACTTTCTTCTTTATGTTTACAGCCCAAGCTAAGAAAGGACAAAGTGGGGCGCACTAATTCTCTGCCCAACAGCCACATGTTCTACCCCCCACACCCCTTTGGCCCCTCCTCTCCAACTTCAGCACAGCGTGTAGCACAGTCAAGAGAGCCCCAGCACTTAGCGGGTAGTCACAGGGCCAAATCAGGTAGAGATCTTGACTACACTTTATGCAACTTGACATTTGCTTGGAAAGCTGCAGGTAATGTCCAGTGAGGTCAACACCTCTGAAGTGCAGTAATTCTGTATTGTTATTGGCTATGTGTACAGGCTCCAGAGACTCGGTGCGTTCACAGCCGGAGAAGTTTTCCCAGCAGCTGACCATCTCCCACAGCCACTCAGACTCTGAAAGCATTCCACAACAACCTCCAACAGGACGCACACTCTGTCGACAGGTGACTATGTTGGCCTGATCCTCAGTCAGTCAAAAAAGTATATTTTGTTACTAGAGATTTACTAAGAGATTTGCTATGACCTAAATTGAGCCAATTTTACTATTGGCTGGACCTTTTAGTCGGCCAGCTTGTTAGCAACTAAACTAAAGATTGTTTAATTTTTCCTATTTTTTGTGAAAAGACCTGTCGATCTTTGTTATAGAATTTGGTGAATATATAGGACTACTTAGATAACTGTTTTCTGCATCACTGAAAAGTGATTTTCTGATTCAGATGAGTTCTAACTCATCTAAACCAGATGCATGGCTCATTATCTGACCTCTGCAGAGCTTGATGTCATACTAAGGAGATAATTTAGCCTTTTGATCTAGATGTTTTGGAGAAGTGTTGGATTTCATAGTTGCATTAGACAATAGATCCTGATGACTAGAGCTGACATAATCATATTAGGTGTTTAACTCATAACTAGTTTCTTCTAGGTGTGGCAAAAGTAAGCTGTTATGTCACTAAGGATGTAAGGAAACAATTGATAATTTTATTTCACAGTACTGTACTTTTGAAATTTCTCAATAAGTCAATAAAAAATGTATTGTTGTAATATTAATAGTGAAAAAACATCCATGTTGTAAAATAGATTCCTCTTCCCACTGAGGAATTCCTGTCAATTAGTCTTTGACATGGAATTTGGTTTCTATACGTATAATATAACAACTAGGTAACAGTTCTCTGCATCCCTGTTACAAGTGTTGATTTGTGTTTTTGTTATTATGAAACCAAATTTTTCTCTCTGCTCACCATTTCTTCTCTTAAAGTGGCACTAAATGCGCATCGACAGTTTAAAGCTTCTCTTGTATGTTTTTAACTGTTCCACTCTCTTCCCTCTTTCTTTTCTGATGTGCCCCTCATGATTTTCCTGTTATTTTAAAATTGACCTGATCTCTCCATCAATCGTTGCCGTATCTGTTAACCTTTGACCTCAGCTCAGTTGGGCCCACAAACCGCCCGACCCTGAGCTACTGCTCAAACACAGATACTCCTGTTTCTGAAACTGTGGTAAACATACATTAAAACGAAACCCCTTTCAGAAACACAGGACTATACAGATCGACATATGCCAACTTTTTTCAACCCCTCGTCCTTCATTCACCCTTTTTTTTTTTTTTTCTTACTGATCTTATCATCAAATTTCAGAGCATTTCCTGGATGTGTAGCAGAGTGACTGAATGTAACATAGGTGTAAGGTGGCTAAAGAAAATAAATAAATAATGCAGAGAACTTTTTATACTTTAAACAATGCAACTCAGGGGATTCCTTCTAAACTGCAAGAGCTGTCCACATTCATTTGGGCATTTTGTATTCATATTAATATGATAGTAGAGCACCAGAGAATTAATTATTTTAATATTACAAAAAATATAAGTTACAGGGTGATTATTGTAGTCCACTGCTAGGGTAAGTTACTCAAATGTACATATTACTAGGAGTTGAATTGAATTGTTGAGGCTGTAACACTTTTCTTTGACCACTAGGTGTCTCTGTGGTCACACTGTTTAAGGCTAATGCAGGGATACTTAAAATGCTCAGCCCTGAGATTCTTGCATGCTTCACTCTCGCTTGCTTATCGCCATGGCTATAAGAGTTTGCATCATTATTTACCTGAGATCTGTCAGGGTTTAGTAGGAGTCATGAGCTCATGAGGTCATTCCAGCTGACATTAGAAACCATTCCTTCTCTGCAGTGGTTTACATGTAATGTTTAGTCTCTGTCTATTGGCCTCAGACCCTGTGAATGGCTCAATGCAGAGGTAGCATCTGGCACAAATGTAACCTGACTTTTTTTTACTTTAACCACTGGCAGTTTTTGTTTTCAGGGTTTTGTTTTCAATGGCAAAGATTGGAAGGTCATTTAGTCTGTCTGTCTCAGCGCTCAATGTCTCTGCCAGCTGTAAACAGGACTACTAGGCATTCAAATTGGAATTTAGATTTTAAGTCTATAAGACATCAGAGGAACCTGATTTGTTGAACATCAAACACTAAGTGCTGCAAATAAACAACATGTTTTACAGTTTTCTAAAATTTCTCCCCTCCTTTAAAATAACATTTTGGCTTCATGTTGAACCCTCTCAAACAACCCAGAAAGTTTTGCTGGTGAGATAAATATCTCAGTCCAATTTCTTAGGAGACCCACAGGGAAAGTTCTGTAAAGAAAACATGTCAGACTCTGACCAGGTCAGGCTTTAATCCAAGCAGACTCAACAGACCAATCTCAGGCAACCACTTGTGTCAGACGTTGTTTACTCAGTGTGCGTTTGACAGTCTGGACTAATGAAACAGAACAACAGAGTGGGGCCGCTGGATTTTCCAGTGATATAGTTCACAGCAGAATGTAGCAATCGACTGGACAGGGAGCTGTGTGAGAACATGCTGGCCAGACAGTGAGCTTTGACACAGACTGCTGCTTCTCATCCTCATCAACTTACACTAACTGCTCTCCCTCCTCTCACCCCCCCCCCAACCCCCTACATTGGACATAAACCCCAATTTTGTTCTTAAATACTGCACACCTTCTCCCCTCCATGCCCTGTTTTTCAGTCTGCAGTGTCCACTGATTCTCAGGAGGCCCTTTGTTCCATTGAACAAGAGAGTAGTGAAGGACTTACGAATGTTGCAGCTTCGGCCCTACCTTCATGCACCTCCTCCACCTCTCGCTCCTTCTCTTTCTCGCATCATCGCCAGCCTCATCTGCATCCAGCGCTCTGCCCTGTACCTGCCCTAATGGGTACCCCCTCTAAACCTTTGCCTCACCGCAGCGTGCACACTCAGCAACATGACCAGCACTGCCTGGCCTTCCACTCCACATCTGCATCTTCTTCCTCATCCCCCCATGTGCCTCCTCCCCCCTTACCTATCAGGCCACCGCAGCAGCAGCAACAAGAGCAGGTGGAGGCAGCTTTGGAGGATCAAGAAGTTTCCTTCATCACCTGTGGAGGACTTATGAAAAATGAAAGCACAGCCGTGAAGGATGTGGGCGGCGAGGAAAGTGGGAGACCATGTTTGAGGCAGCTGAAGAGGTTCCACAGTGTTGACACACAGGGCCGTAGCACCCTCCTGCCCCGCCCACGCCCTCACTCCTGGCTGGACGATCCACGGCGCCACTCTTTAGAAGTATGCTCAGTGGGGGACCCCTACCCACAGCGCACTGCAACCTCCACTTCTTCTGGCTCCATATCCCAGTCTGACAACCTGCTGATTCCCGCCAAGGCCCCCCTGCCTTCCCCCCGACACAAGAAGAAAATGAGCCCACCCTGCATATCTATTGACCCACCTGATGAACTTGAAACCCAGTCTGGCCTGTACCCAAGCCTCGGTGGCATGGCACTGGGGGGATTAGGAATGCCCCCTCCTTTGCCCAGCAGGGACACATGTCTGAGAAGAAGAGCACCCTCTAACGAGTCCAAGGACTCGATCGACCTGGGACTGGGAGAGGTCTCAGTCCAGGATGGGGGCTCGCCAAATCCCAATCCTAGCTCCAAGCTATTGACTCTTCCCAGTTTCTCCTTGGAGAAAACAAGCTCCGAGCACTGAACATTAACTCTCCCATCACACACACACATACACGGACTTGGACAAACCCTCCACACACGCAAACACATGATGCACACTGTGTATCTGTGATGGTGATAGCTCTAGTAATAATGCTGTAGAAAGTAATAATGGTAAAACTACAACAAACAGTAAAACCATTCTTCATGAGGAGCACGGTTATGTGGTAGTGTGACCATCCCTCGTTTTTGTATTGTTACTGCCAAAACAGCTAGGGAAGAAAGGACCACCTGAAACGACAAATGAGACTGTTTCTCCTCTGCGACGCCCAGTGGCTTGACCCCTAACCTCTGGGAGCAACATCAGCATTTGGGATTTGATGCCCCTTGTGGCCGCGGACAGAACTGCCTGGTGTTGCACAGGGCGAAACGGGCCAGTGGAGATACAAAGCAATATGAACGTTTTAGAGACACTATTTTCTTAAATTATTGGGCCATCGCGTTTGTACAGGATGTTGTTCTTTTTTTTTTTTTTTTTTTTTAGTTTTCACATCTGATTTGTTTGTTTTCGTCAACTATGTTTTGTCTTTTTTTCACTGTAGGATATTTCTAGCTTCCTTAGTTTACTAAGGAAAGTGAACGTTTTTCAAAGTGCTGAAAACTATGTATTTGTAGGAATAATATATGATTATATATATAAAAAAAAGAAATCATTAAACTGAGCTTGGATTTTTAAGCACTTACATCAGACCTTGGTGATTGTGATTGTTTGGAGGACTGAGGGTAACCTTAAGGGGTTTCTATGGTGTCTCACAGAGACCCAGATCTCTCCTTACAGGGTGTAAACACTGATTGACAAGTAATTTATAGCAGTGCAAATTGGTAATCAACTAGACCTAACAATCTTCCAAAATTCTTCATCATTGAACATATGCAGACACAGTATTAATACAAGCAAGAAGTATTTCTATTGTTAAGCCAATTTTTAGTCAACCAATAATTTATTTTCTGATAGAAGGTTTGCCGGGAATTTCTTAGAATAATTGAATGATGTAAAACAGGGGAAAAAATTTAAGGAACATTTCAATGACTCTTCACATTTAATTAAAAATGTACATTCCAAAAAAATATGCTTTTGAAAAGTCATTTTATTTAAGTAATTAAATTAAGTGAAACAATAAAGATCAATTACACCTATGCTGATTCAAGTCATTACAGTATTTTCCTTAATTAGGGTGATTTTCTGTTTACTGCAAAAAAAAAAACATGGCATTTGGTATTGGAGTATTACATCAGAAAAATAGAAGATATATATAAATGCAGAAATGCTGGCTAAATGTAAAGTATTTGTACCTTCTAAAAAGATTTCCAAAGGCTGACTGTTGATAAAAACATAAATGTGTCCCCCTTTTTAACAATAAATTAAATGATTTAGTTTCAGAGCAAATTCCATCTTCGCTTTTTGCATGCCCACCACTGTTTTATAACAATTCATCTTTGATAAAAAGCTTTAATTCTTAAAGGTTGAATGGTCTTTTTGTCATCACCTTAATATTTCGGTCCCTTTCCTGACTTATTAGGTCTGTGACTCTTGCTGCGCCATTTCAAAACAATAATATTACTTCTAGAGAAAAAACAACCTGTTGACAAATTCAGAGGATTATTTAAAACAAATGGGACTTAAACCAATTATTCATTACAATTAAAATACTACCATTGAAATAATCATAAACGAATTACTTAATTGAATAACAAAAGTTACCTTGAGTATTTCGATTGCAATTTTCTGATCGAAAAACACTCACAACAGTAGCTAAGCAAAAACTGTAGTAACAATATAAACATTTTGGATTTAATATGAAAATCCTTCTTTTTCTGTGAGTAAACTCTATTCAGACGTCACTGGTTGCATCCCTATAATGAGGTTCTTATTGCTATTCATGGACATTTCAGGTGCAGCGAAGCAATGCCATCTAATCCAGACATGTGGAAGGACGCCTGCAGGGGGAGCTGTTGCCAAACAGAATTAATGAGGCATCAATACATTAGCTTAGGGCATCTGATCTTCATATTGCAACAGCTTACCTCTACTCTCAATTTTAAAACCTTGATATTTTCTGAAAACTAGGAACATATAGCGGTTGCAAAAATTGTTTCTATATGCTAATATTAACACAGCATTGACATCAGCATAAAATACAGCTGTTACAATTAACAACAAAGGTTGCCACTTTTTCTCTTGATTTTTTTTACAGGAATTCAAATGTAGTATTGTTTTAGTTACGGGTTCTAGCATAAAACTGCAAAAGTATTTACTTTGTAAAGCTGCTGTTAAGTTGAGGAGGTTGTACTGAGTTGTCTTTCATGTATCATTATTTTGCATGTAAGTTATATCGCCACCAAGTCACTTGGTAGTAAAAGCCTGTCTGACACAGTAGGTCCTATGCTTAGATGTAAAGATTCATGAGTCTGTGTTTGATTGAACATCTAAACGAAGTTGGGTTGCTGGCCTTGATCTTGCAGTGTGGAATTAAAGCAGTCTCTGTAAAGTGCCTTAAGATGATCTGCTGAAAAAAAAAAAAAAAAAAAAGATGATCTGCTGTGAATCGGCACTTTATAAAGAAGCAGAACTCAAGAGGAAAATTAGAGAAAACATGAAGATTAGAGATAGCATGGGGAGAGACCATTGAAAGTAAAAAAAAATAATAAAAACAAAGAAGTTTATAGGGCTTGGTCGTCGTGACGTAAGCACTTCGCGTCGCCGCCATGTTGAATGCGTCTTTTACCGCGGCTCAGACTACTGCCTATGACTACCGCGTACTGTACTCCCTCTCAGCCGTGTTTTAATTTGATTAATTTCACCTTAACTTGATTTCAACCATGGTAAACCGTTGCTGTATTGTGGGCTGTAACAGCTCAACACATGATCGCCATGGAAACATAGAAAATGGGTTAACTTTCCACCGCTTTCCTGACTGGAGGCGTAACCATGGAGACCAAGCGTCAGAGATAACGAGTAGTCGGCTAGCTTGGATCGCGGCTGTAAGACGACCGAACATAACTTTCCACAGTATTCCAATGTCATTGAGAGTGTGTTCCCTGCATTTTCATTCAGGTAAGTTAAAGATGCACGGTTTTATTTTATAGCCTACTTTGTTTCTTTCCTTCAAAGTTGGGATCTTTTACGGGAAAATAATAAAAACGGCAGCGGGAAAAGGCTCAAATACGTGAGAAACCCGGAGGGTTGGCAGTTAACGTTACTAACTACACCTTTGAAACACATAGCAGCTAGTTAAAAGTACATTACATGCGTGAGTGGTTGTTAGCATTAGCGGTTAGCAGTTGCTAAACTAGCAGGTTCCAGAGCCCGTCTGATCACAGCTTACCTTCGTACGGATTACTGTGTTCACACTGTTTGCTGGCTTTATGATCTGCAGCTCCTGAACCCATCCATTCAGGAACTGCACATGAGACTCCAAGGACTTGTAGCTTGGGAACTGTTTTGAAGTATAGGCGCTCACTCATCGGTGCTCCACTCGTTGTTTGGAACTTTATATGGATCCAAATGATTAATAATGCTGATTTTGTCACCATACCGGTCCCTGGCTTCTCTATTTAATGTGTCCCGGTAAATTCCAGATCCTTTTCGGGATTTTAACATCTTTTTTCTCTCTACTTCTGTCTCTTCTTTCAACAACAACGTTGTGTCAGAGCTAAGTTTACGTTTGCGTAGCAGTCAGTATGGCTGCGACGTCCCACAATGCAACGTGCATCCCGAGCCCTATTGATTGTAAAATGGACAGTGAATAGCTCGGCTCAAGTATAGAGGTGTTGGTTAAAATAGGGTGACCAAACGTCCGTATTTCCCGGGACATATCCGTATTTCACGTCCTGTCCCGGGCGTCCCGGGTTTTTTTTAGAAAGTAAGGAAATGTCCTGATTTCACTGCGCACAACGCTCCGTGTGACGTAATCCCTGAGCCGCGTCAGTGCGGGCAGCCCTGCTCTTAATCAGAGGCTCAGTTCGAAAACCTAGGACGCATCCTCCAAGGACGCGGTCTACCTAGACTGGATCCTTCGAAGTCCTTGAAAATAAGGAGGCCGGAAGAGTTTTGGCTGTAAATTCGAACAGGTCCTCCCTTCAGCGGGTTTTACCGCAGTATGCTCTGTTGCTTAGCAACCGTGAAAGGTGACACACAAAGCAGGAAAAGAATGAATACCGAGGTTTTCAAAACTGTTTGTTTATTTATTTATTTTTTTTAAAGTTAAAGTGAACAAAGACTACACTCACAAGAATCCAGAATGGAATAAAGGTTCCAACCACCAGGAGCAGGAACAAATCAAATCAAATGTAATGATAGAAACCTTAGTCAGTTAAATAACATGCTGCTGTCATTCTGCACATCTCTGATGTTGCTGCTATTTTCAAATATCCATTACTGTAAAAATATCCATAGCTGCATATTGGTTATTAATTCTCCAGTTTTATATTGTTAAAACACTTTACAGAGTTTAATTTTTTATATTTTAACTCTTCCCTATTATGTTATTCTTATACATTTTTTTAAGGTCCTCATTTGTGTGACCATTTTCAATAATCTTTCTGCTGCTGTAAATTTGCCCATTGTGGGACAATAAAGGGATTTTCTATTCTATTCTATAAAAGGGGTAGAGAGATATAAGTAAATCTAAAAAATGTATCTACAAAATGTATCTGCAAAATCTCTAATATTCAACAACAAAAAATACTTAGTTAAGCATATTGTGCAAAACAACAATAAAAAAATTAAACTCCTATCAGATTTATAGTTCCCACTCTGCAGATTTCTTAGAATCTGTCCTTAAATTACAGCCAAACCCATTTATATTGTAACAGATAAAAACCTTTAGATAAATCAAACATTACCGCCACATATCTGACTCTATAACCATTAAAACAACTAGTAACAAGTAACATTTCCTCTCATCGCGGAGCAAATCCCGATGATGAGACATTTGTTCTTTCAATCACCCCCCCACCCCCCCCGCTCCAAGGTGTCCTGGTTTTCCCAAATGAAAATATGGTCACCCTAGTTAAAAGCCAAGCAACCAGGTCAACCAGGTAAGTTTTAGATGTTCGGGATCAATCTGTTACAGCAAATCTAAAATTGATTCATATTTTATTCCATTTCTTCTTATTACTGAATCATAAACAGCAATCTCTACAAACCATAATGAGCTGCTGGTGTTACTCTGGTTTCTTTAAATATTTTCAGAGTACTTTTGGTAGACAACATGATTATTTTGCCTACTTTATATTCTCACTTTATGAATTGCTGAGATAGGCTTGTAATCAAGTCTGCATGTGGCGAAAAAATATACTACAGGGGTAATTTAAAGTTTTGTCAAAGTTTTGTACACTAAAAGGTTAATGCATTGACAAAAAATAAAAAAGAATTTACATTCAGATTTTTAAATTAATAATTATAAAAAAATACATTTCTAAAACAATGTAAAACCAACTAGATAATCAACATCATATGTATTCTATCCTGAAGAAGAGAGTCATTGATAGCTGTGGAAAGTTGAAATGACAACCCCAGCAGGGTTAGCGAAACAAAATAACTATTTGGTTTTCTTTATTATTTTGTTCGCCTGAAAGATTCTATTACACCTTTGGCTTGTTTGTATTTTCTGTAAATATTTATCTTTTAATACAATCCACCATTAAAAGAACTGAATCTCTTTTCTTTATTTGAATCTGTTGCAT